ACCGACATTCTGGACTCAGAATTAAGCTTGCCCGGCATGACTCTGCTCAGACGCGATCGACCTACAAGGGGGTGATGGGGTGTTATTCTACTTTAGCAGCAAACTACAATGCGAAGTAATTGATTATCTTGCTGCAGTTTCTGACTCGCTATGGTGCAAAGTGCGACTGTCGCAGCGCGATATCGGATCGTTCGGTGTGGTGTATCGCTCTCCCTCATCCACAGACTCAGCCAATAAGACACTATTGCAAACCATGTATCACATAATGTCACTGAAGTTCACACATGTTCTCATTGTGGGTGACTTCAATTGCCCTAACCTAGCTAAATCAGCGACCTCTCTAAAACCATTTGACGGGAAATCTGTACAACTTATGGTACCTCATCCATTTGCAACTTTGTGGAGGAGCCCACGAGGTTTGGAGCCAACCAGTCACCATCGGTTTTGGACCTAGTGTTAGCTAACAAGGAACTGATGGTGGAAACGATCTCCACTGTAACTCCATTAGGATGCAGTGATTATGCTATGCTGATATTTGACTACATTTCCTATGCTTCCGTAACGCACAATTCTACGGTTAGCTCCTGTATGTTTGTTGACTTCACTAAACTTCAAATTTTGGCGAGTGATTTTTTAGGGAAATTTCTCAACGAACAGTGTGATTCCCTAATATCCTGGGAGGAATTTACAAACCACCTGACGAAAATGATGAAAGGCGCGACAAAGACCAAACGCATCACCTACTCAACTGGTCAAAGGTCAGCAATTTGAAGTCGGACAAAAAGTGGATTTCGCAGAGGAATACCTCATGAAGAGCTTATAAACGATCTCCTTGAGACAACACATAGTATACCTACTGTCAACTCCGCAACAACTGCACCAAGTTGGCGCGAGAAGACGAGTTAATACAACTAGAAATGCTCATGCACAAGTTCACATCAAATCCCAAGCTGTTGTACAAACACATAAATGCCACCAGAAAAGTTAAGTCTGGTGCTCCAGCGCTAAGGGTGGCAGAACGTATTTCAGTCACAACAAAGGAGTACGACTGCCTCTGTTACTTGAGGATACATCACAACCAGTGCTCACCACAATTGATTTCCCTCAGAAATCGTTGCATCGAAACTGCAGTGTTTGAAAAGAAACTCATCTCCAGGGTGGATAATACCCATCCACAGACCCTTATCAACCTGGCGAGTAACTTAGCTCAATCACTAAGTAAACTATTCCAACAAATGATTAACAAAACTGCGTTCCCAAAAACATGGAAACAAGGGATCATCTCCCCGATATACAAAGGCGGCTGTCGTAGCGACCCAGCTAACTACCGCCCCGTTACTCTCCTTCCCGTATCATACAAAGTCATGGAATTCACTGCGGCAGACAATGTGATGAATCACTTGAAAAAATACAACGTGTTATCCCCGGCTCAACATGGGTCCCGTCGCAGGCGATCGTGTACCACCAACCTGCTTCTGGCCCGAGAAGAGTGGACAAAAGCAGCTAATCACGGGGATGCAGTGGATGTCGTGTACCTCGACTTCTCCAAAGCATTTGATCGAGTTAACCAGAAAATAATGCTGAGGAAACTACACAGCTACGGAATTCGGCTACTTGTAATGGGCTGGATAGAGGAATTTCTTTGACAATCCCCACGGCAGTTTGGGTTTCTGGTCCACTTTCTGATTCCGCCAGCGTATCACGAGGAGTTCCACATAGATTCGTGTTGGGCCTATAACTTTTACTTGTTTTCATAATCAATCTAATGGACATTCTCGGTCCACATACATCAATCTTCGCAGACGATGCAAAAATAGGGAAAACAGTGACATAACCAGAGGACTCGCTAGAACTCCAAAGAACACTTATTGCTGCCTATCAATGGCCGATCGAAAATGACATGGAATTTAATGCATCAAAATGTACGATCGTATCCCTTCGACACAAAACTCGATTTCCGTATTTCCTAGGAGATCAACAACTTCCGTACATCTCGAATGAGAAGGATTTCGGTGTCATTGTTCAAGACAACCTAAGCTGTTCTTCAAACTGCTCCTGGGCATCGTCTACCGCTGTAAGACACGTTGGTTTGCTAAAACGAGTATTTGGCAAATTTGAACCAATGCTGTTCTCACGATTATTATCAGCCTACATTCGACCCCCCCCCACAGAGTACGCCATTCAAGCATAGAATCCATGGCTGCAACGCGATCAGAAGATTCTGGAACGTCCACAAAGAATGGCTACCAAAATGGTCAAAGTATTGCATTCCAAGAGTTATGCGGAAAGACTAGAAGCACTGCAACTGTACTCCACACAGTATCGCCACATTTGCGGAGGCTTGATCTTGGTATACCAAATAATGCAGAACCCAGACCATCCATGTCGTTCACTCTTTTCCTTGTCTCCCAACACTCACCTGCGGAGGCCCTTATTTAAATTAGTGCTCTAAAAATGCCGACTAGAATGCCGGCGTCATTCATTTGCCCTCAGAGTGTGCATTACTTTGGATTCTCTACGACCACATGTTACCTCTGCGCCCACAATTGATTCATTCAAACATAAACACGATGAAGCGTTGAAAAGTCTTAGATTTCAACATCTGTAGAAGCGCACGTAAAAAGGACAAATTGTGACATTCATCTACTTTGTATGAACTTTGAACTGATTCATATGTGCTAAATCCTATGTGATTAGAAAAGCAACCGCTTGTATGTATTTCCCATAATAAAACTTTGACTTTGACTTTGGCCCCAGCTTTACTTTCTGAGCCAGCTTCAATTTAATGAACCTCTCTTTCTCACTCAGTAGATTAATCATAGCATTTCTGTGGAAGGTGTACTGAACACATAATGATGATAATATAATAGTGATATATTTCACGAAGCCCGTGAAGCGTGCTTGTAAGCATGATGAAATGTATAACGATGTAAAAATGACAGTGCAAACAAAAAGTAATAGTACAGAGTGAAAGAACGTAATTTTCAAACGGGTACGAAAGATATCGTAAATGTGCAATACGGTGAAAATGAAACACAAATCGGACAAGGTTATATGACGGAGCACTGGGGTTGATGTGTTATTTAGAGCAAATCAATGTAACGGTTGTCTGATGAAAAACAATTGGCAAGACAAAACTGGAAGTTGGAAGTTGGAACAAGAAGGATGCCCAGTGGTCTGCATTTCACGTCTACTCAATGCGGCAGCAAAGGGATACTCGCAAACTCAAAAAGAAGCGTTGGCTGTATTTTGGGCTGTTCGCCGATTGCACAAGTACCTTTTCGGATTGTGGTTTACCATCATCACTGACCACCAAGCGCTATAGTTCTCGTTCAATTCCACCAAATCCATCCCCAAGTCCATTGCTGTTATGCTACAGAGGTGGAGTATCGCTCTAGCCGCATACAACTATGACATCCAACATCGTCCAGGAAAGACAATCTCGCAGGCTGATTACCTCTCTCGCTACTCACGATTTTCTGAAGCCGAACAGTGTCATTTTATCTCCCCAGCATCACCAGTGTCTCGGAAATCTTTACGCAAATCTACCAAGCAGTACTACTCGGAGATACTCTCAGCGATCAAGAAAGGCTGGTCGCCAGAGGTAAAGAGAAAGTATCCTCAAATCTTTGCTCATCGAGAGGAGTTGTCAGTACGATCGGATGGTGTATTGTGTCGCGCCGATCGATTGGTAATCCCACCGCCACTGCGGGAGACGGTACTAGAAGAATTGCACAAAGGACATATGGGGGTGGAGAAGATGAAACCATTGGCTCGACAGATGTGTTGGTGGCCGGAGTTGGACGCAGACATTTACGTAACAGACAATAACTGTGAGTCATGGTTACATAAAGTACGAACAAGGCCGAAAAACTGGACACCACGGATACCATGGCAAAGNAAGGGGTCATTTCGATTTCTGTGGTCCATTTCTGAACCGGTACTGCGCTCTTGTCCTGATCGATTCATACTCCAAATGGCCAGAGGTATTCTTTATGACTACGCCTACTACATCATTTGTGATACAAGTACTGCATTAATGTTTTAGTCGTGAAGGGATTCCACAAGTGCTTGTGACGGACAATGGATCTCAGTTCTGTGCGATCGAAATGCAGCTTTGGATAGACAGCTTCGGTTGCCGATATCTTTGAACTGCGCCACGTCACCCCTGTTCGGACGAAGCGGCAGAGAATTCAGTCAAAACGGTCAATAGTGCGATTGTGTCTGCCAATCCTA